CATTCATTCATTCATTCATTCATTCATTCATTCATTCATTCATTCATTTGTTAATTAATTAATTAATTAATTAATATGCTGCCCATCTGCCCAATGGGTGACTCTGGGCAGCTCACAATGAAAGTAAAAGCCACAAACGGTTAAAAAATAAATACCTCCATTAATTAATTAAATTAATTAATTAATTCAAAGGTCATACTACAGAAACAAGCCGTATACATTCATAAAGCTTCGTATCCAAAAGGCTGAATAGGAAGGAAGAGATTTTGGTGAATAAGCATACATGTGCTCTCAGCATGTATCTCAAGGTCATATTTCGAACACCATACCCACGAGGCTGTGCTCTGAGCCTTTCAGAGTTTAGTCATTTTCTGCCTGACAAGTCAAGCTGTCTAGTAACAGCTTCACTCTTGTGCCTTGAAATCCATAACTGAATATTGAACTGCATGTTGTGGGTCATGAACTTAAATAGACAGCTCTCTTTATACTGACATCCAAGTCTGTGGATGTCTGCAGCAGAATTTAGTTCTGGGGGCAGTGAAATACCTGCTCTGCGTGCGGGAAGGCCTACATTAAGACAACTGGGTAACAAGTGGTGGGGAAGATCCTTGGGGAAGATCCTTTTTGAGCTAAAAAAAGGTAAAAACTCAGAGTCAAGCTTGATTCCTCTTGATTACATGGATACAGACATGTCATTTTCTTGGCAACTGTACAAAAATGACTTGCTGCTGACTTCTTTCAGTTGTTGGTTTGTTTTTTCCAACTTGCTGGCCTACCTGACATTTCTGGGGCTTCCTGTAAGTCTCCAATCCAGTATTTAGGTTTGAGCCGAAATAAATTTGGTTTTAGGTCAGCCAGATGTTTAACCTCCTTTTAAAGCCTAATTGCTTAATGGCAGCAACTTCCATACACAGATATTGTTTAGAATGGCTTTCTCTACCCAAGTGCTTAGTAGGTCTGAGCGTGCTTAGCTCTTTTTGAGCTCAGCCAGGACCATAGGTGGGCCAAGCAAATAAAGCCTTCCTTGTAAGCAGCTCCCTTTGTAAGAGATGCTTATGAGTTTAGTTGCATGCTATGGTTTGTTTTGAGTGCAAGGATTTTAGGTGCCTCGGTGGAAGGATATTGAGTTGTGCTAATGAGCTCGTTCCAAAGGGGCAGCCATGTGAGTCTTCTGCAATAGAAACAACAGTCTCTTGGGGTGTCTTAAGCTAACCATTTATTATCATGTAAGGTTTTATATTCCACAAAAGCTGTTGCTCTTACTAGCTGTATGGGTACACTGCATGTAACGATTCCTTTTGCTCCTATAGGTCCAATCACAAATGCTTTTATAACCCTGGCACCTGCCAACATGCTGAATCCGGACAGCAAGCCTCGTGTCCCGCTGCCAAAATTCAGCCGGCATCTCCATAGCACAGAGAGCACGGAAAGCTCTGCCAGCGAGGGGCTGACCCTGTGTCTGGGGCTGCATCAGAAGGTATGGAAACGAAGCGGAAGGAATTGGTGAGAGGTGCCCGAGATGCATCTCCTGAATTGGCCAGCGTGTGTACTGTAGAGTGTGTGAGACATTTATTCTTCCAGCCAAAGCAGGAGCAGCCTCAGCAGATGGATAGCTGCTGATAGTGTGGTGCAGATCTTAAACAGGCTTAGCTGAATATTCTGGTGTAGTTCTTCCTCTGGGGAAGGAAAGGGCTGGTGAGCATTTGTATGAGTTATATACTCTTGATGGGCACTTAAGCAGTAATAAGCTGAAACTTCACCACCACACCTGCGTTTCTTGGGATTTGAAATGAACCGTACGCACCGTGCCGGGAAGGATCGTAAATGTTCAGAATTGAATTTGGCAGCCACACACTCTATCACAGGTGCTTGCTTTGGGGTGAGCTGTAAATGGAAATCAGATGTCACAGAGGAGGAAACAAGTTTAATCCAGAGCTGTGATAAATAAGTGGAGCTTTCATTTTCAGCAAACAGGGTTTCCTCAAGGGCCAAATAATTGTCTCCATGGTGTACATGGGAATTCTCTAGAATTTATTTGACCTACCATTGAGGGTATCTTAGTGCTGGGCTAGATCAGATGCACCGAGGTGGTTCTTACATTGCAGTATCAAAAGTTGTTATCCCCAGTAGAGTCTCCACGTTGAAAGGCAATATACTCTGAATATGAGATAGCAGGGACAGAAAATGGGGCAGCTATCACCTTCATCTACATTTTCCAAGGGGTTCTTAAACAGGATCTCTTGGATCTTGTCATAGTACAAGTAGTCCTCACCTAACAACCACAATTGGGATCGGAATTTAGGTCACTAAGCATGTCATTAAGCAAATCATCATATGACTAGACCTGACTTTACGACCTTTTTTTTTGCTGTGGTCATTAAATGAATCACATGGTCATTAAGTGAATCATGTGATTGCTTATTAATTTTGCTTGCCAGAAGCTGGCTGGAAAGGTCGCAAATGGCAATCATGTGACCCCAGGACGCTGCAACCGTCATAAGTGCGAGCTGGTTGCCAAGCACCAGATCAGGATCATGTGATGTGTGGGCGCTGCAACAGTTGTAACTTCAAGCACCAGTTGTAAGTCACTTTGTCTAGCACCATCATAACTTTGAATGGTCACTAAACGAATGGTCATTCAGCGAGGACTACCTGTAGAAAGGAAGAGATCAGGAAGAAGTCAGTTTTCTTCCATTCTTTATTCCAGGCAACTGGAATCCATCATTTTCCAGCTCTGTTTCTCAGCATTCTCTCTGTTCATGACAGAGAGAAAAGATGGGGGTAAGGATCAACATGGGTAGCAAAGAACCGGTACCTTATATTTATGTTTAACTCTCACTTAACCATCCTTCTAGTGGAGTTGCAATGAATGAAGAGATTATTTATGTCAGGGGTTTTCAAACTTTTAAAGGCCACGGAACCTGCTAATTAAAACAAAAAAATCCCCCGATCAAAAGACAAAGTACTGGTGATAGAAAATTGGTTGCATTTGATGAAGGGTTTTGTTTTGTTTTTTGCCCTTAGTGAAACACAGCTTAAAAAAACCTGATGTATGTATTTGTTTTGTCATTCTGTATCCACAAATGCGGGCAGAGCGGGAGCTTCACCACCAAAACAGAATCAGAAAAGTGGCAGAGCTTCAGGTTTGCTTGTCCAGAACTGAAGCGATAGCATCGACAGCCCATGGCTGTGTGGGAAAGCAGGGTCTCTAACGTTAAATAACAAACTCAGCGTTATCTTGATTTTGAAATCAGTGCTGCAGGCTTTTTGGAGAGCAGGCTTTGAAAACGGGATGAGGTGAATGGAACAAAGTACACTGTTAGTCCTAAAAAGCAAAAAACAAAAAAAACAGCATAAACACATATTATATCTGTTTAGGATATCTAAAGGATTTTAAAAACAGCCTCCCTAATTCTGTAGCACTCACTTCTGTGAAATCTGTTTTTTCCCTTTGTCTCTCATTTTTACATATGTCTTTAAAGAGGGACTAGGTCAGTGTTGTCCAAACTTGGCCACTTTAATGGCTGGCTGGGGAATTCTGGGAGTTGAAGTTCACTCATCTTAAAGTGGCCAAGTTTGGACAACACTGGACTAGGTGAATCCATAGAGGAAAGCTCTCTTGGCATCTATTTCTGCAGCTGCAGTATCTGAGGAGGAAAGTGATGGCTGACCACCAGATGCCGGGTTTCTGGGGCTGATGCTCCCATGCCCTCCTTGTGGACTCCACAGAGGCCTCCAGCTGGCTGCTGTGAGACTCCTGATGCCAGATTATATGAGTTTGTGATATTGTACAATATCTCTCTCCTTGCCACCACTGCTCTGTGTCATGGCCCTTGATTGAATCTACCCATTCTTCCTCTTGAACCTGAGGGTGAAGGAGGAAAGAACCATCGTAGAGAGGGGATAGCCCATCCTCCTTTGCGTGGATCTGTTCAATATCATTCACTGCATTGGCCTCTTGTCCACCCATCTGCCTGTCTTGCCCTTCAAGGGCACTTTCATCTCTCTCTCTCCTATCTGTCTCTCGCCTTCCCCCATGAGATTGGCGGAACTAACTCTCATGAGTGTGGGTGGAGGGTACAAGGACTGTTAAGCCAGTTTGAAGCATTGACTTAGGGATATGCAGCGCTTTGGGTCTAAAGTCAGAAAGGTGCTTTGGGATGGTGTACAGGTGTGCGTGCTACACCTGTTAATGGCTCCTTAAAGAAACTGTGTCTGTTCCTGGGCTCTCATACTGCATGATCCCAGGAAAAATGCATTTTTGAATCCAGGAGATGCCCATAGGCTGGAGCGAGGTTGCGTCACAGTGGGCATTGGCGCCTCCATAACTCAAATGTGTATTTTCCTGGGATCACATGGCTACAGTGTGAGGCCAGCGAAAGAAGCCGCTTCTTCAAGGGGTGCCAACAGATGTGGCATACACCCCTATGTCAGCTTCAAAGTTAGGTGAATAAAAAGACCTTTGCTTGGGGCCTTATATATGTGGGCATCATAGCAAAGAGACCCCTAAAAAAGGTGCTCCCCTGGAAAAGGGTTTCCCTTGGTAGGACCTTCCATAATGATCTCGGCATACGGGCAGGTTTTGTGAAGAGGAAAAGTCCCTTTGCTGCCCAGATCCTCAGCAGCATATGATGCTCTAGCTCAGCGCTTCTCAACCTTGGTAACTTTAAGATGTGTGTTCTGGGAGTTGAAGTCCACACATCCTAAAGTTGCCAAGGTTGAGAAACACTGCTCTAGCTAAGTAACAGCATGTTTCATTGTGGCACGAGGCAGACCAGAAGCAACCAAGTCCCTAAGACATCATCCGGGTGGCATCTGTGTGGCTGTTTGGGGGCCCAACAGCTGTCTCCAGAGCAGGCCTAGGTGCCAGGTGTTGCAATAGGGTGACCTTCCAACCTGGAGAAATTCAGGATGGCCCTTTAGTACACCCATATGTGCCAAGTCCTGGATACATGGGGGCATCTCATTGGAAAGAGGAAGGTGTTGTCTCAGATTGCCTGTGGCTCCCAAAGAGACAATTGTACTTCCATCCCCATCTGCTCTATGCTCAAGCCTGATATTAAAATGTGTTCTTTTCCAAAATGTGGGGACTTCCCCCCCTCCTTTCCAGCCTTCCTCTGCATTCATAAGTGATAACTCCAATTTAATAACACTTCTCACACTCCAGATCTAATGCCAGCAATATGATGTTTTAAGAAAGGAAAAGAGACTGTTTTGGGGCTGGGAACCGAAAGTGGGGTGAGTAGAGTGTGAGTGAGGGCAACAGCGGCTGTACTTTCCATATCAAGAGGAATAGGACTGACAGGAAGCACTGTGGAATCTCTCTCTCGCAGTCTCTGGTGTCCTCTGATGTGTTATCCTTCAGCTCCCATCATCCCCAGCCCACAGAGCTGGGGATGATGGGAACTGAAGCCCAGCATTTCAGGAGAGCACCAGGAAGGCTGTAGGGATCAAATAAATAAATAAAAGAAAAAGCTGGCTTATTAGAGGATTATATGTTGAATTAAGGCAACCTATAAATAAGTTTATGAATAAATGTATGCATTATTATTATTTATTTATGATACAGTTATGCATGGTGTGGGAGGAAGTAGGTAGGGAACTTTTTTCTCTCTCATATAACTAGAATTGTGGGGAGGGGGAGCTCATAAAATCAAATCCATGGATTGTAGGTTAGGGAGAGACAAAAGAGCCCTTTGTTGCACAAACAGCAATTAATTTGCGAGACTTGCTGCCTTGAGATGCTAGGTGGACATCTTTAAAATAGAATTAGACCATTTCATGGGGAGTTGGAGAGGTCTGTTAAGGAGTCTCTGATGTGATGGCGAAGGAGAATTGGACAAACAGGGTGAAGATTCTGCTACGCTCCTGAGAGGGAGGTACTAGAGAGTCTAAAACTAAATGGACAAGCATCCAGTCGATGGGTTGCCCCCAGAAAAAGGAGAGAACCCTTTTCCATAGCTTTCAGCCAACCCCTATAACAACCTGGTGAAGATGCAGCTTGTAGATGACTAAAACCTCTCTCCAGGCTGGGCTGAAGAATTACATCAAGTAGTTTCCAATTGACCACAATTATTAAAGAACCAAGCAGAGAGGATTCAGAAATGGTCCATTGCTTCTTTAAAATAAACCATAGCCAGCTAAATTGATCAAGAATTATATATAATCTTTGACAATAACTTACCAGATGAGCTTGCTGGGGGTTCCCTGGGATTTCCCAGCATTTGCCAGACAAACAAAGATGCCTTTTTCACCAGGAATAGGGAGGTGATTCAAGGGGTTCAAAAACAGTTTCTGAGAAAGGAAATGTAAGTATTTTCCAAAAGATTACTATTGTACGTCCAACACAAAGTTTCTTGGGCGCAACTTAATAAATGTATAAATGTGCTGTTATTGCACAATGATTTTTGTACCTGTTTGGCATAAGGCTGAGTCATGAGGGGTGTTGGTTTGTGGCGTGTATTAATGTAGGTCCAGGAGGGGAGCATGAGATTGGATTCATAGTAAATCTTTCTGAGCAAGAGGGAACCAGGGGGCTAGAAAAGGTGGGCTTTTTATCTATTGCAGTAAACAACATTGTTAATAAATTCCCATACTAAGTGCCAATCAAACCCTTTTTCAAGGCAGTCCCATGATTGAGCCCCATGGCATGGGGAGCAGGGAAAGGTTTTGGAAAAGCAAGGGATAATTTCTGGCCTCTTAAAAAAAAAACAGACTTCTGTCTGCTTGTTTTTGTCTATAAAGTGTAGATTGCACTTAAGGTCCTTGTGCTGTCTCTGTTGCTCATAAGAGAGACCTCAGTGGCATTCTGTCTTCATCTCAGGAGACCCAGCAATAACAACAATTGCTAGGTTTTCTAAGGGGAGGTGGGGTGTTGTGGCTGGAGGACCAAATTGCTTTTGCAGATCCCAGGAGCCAGCCTGCAAGATTAAGATCTCTTGTCTCCTTTTATCAGCACCATGTCTGCTCCTCAACTAGAACAACAGATCTCAAGGTTGCTTGTCTGGAGTTCCTGATGAATTACTGTCATTCACTGGAGTGCATTGGGGGGGGGGTCTTCTCTCCTTCCCCCAGCATGTTGAGTATCTTTGGTCTCTGCTGCAAATTTGGAAGCGGGCTTGAAGGCCAGTGTCTTTCCTTCTGGAACCCTCCCATTTGCAGTTTAGGAGATGGACTAATTCAGATTATCCACAAACTGGGCAATAGCTGTTTGGGTTTAGCAGCAGGAAAAAGTGCTCCAAAACTTAAGGAAGAACCTTGCCTTGCTGGATCAGATCCCTCCACTTAAGATTCCCTCTTTTTGTAAATTTGTCTGAAGTTGTATAATAAATTATGTGTCAATGTGGTCCTTTCAGCAGACATTTCATTATCAGGCTAAGTAACATCATCATTTGCAAACCCCACTCTCCTTCACACTGATGTTACCTAGCCTGGTAGTGAAATATCTGCAAGAAAACAACCAAGCTCAGAGAGCACCAAGAACCCAACAGTTCAACCCTGAGCTACGTAGATTCCATTCTGTTGAAACTCCAGTGTTTGGGGTAGGATATAACACCTCACTTTGCTGATCACAGATGTCTGTGCTTATGAGAATCAGGTAGGAAGGAACAGGAACCACCCACCCCAGTCAGGCGTTCACAAGACTAAGGTAGCAAGTTGTTCATTTGAATTGAAGGAACACAGCTTCTCATGTTCTTTATTCCTGTGACTTTTGTGAGTTCTGCCTTTATGGCCTCACAAGGGTTTCATCTGACATCTGTCTCCCTAGCTTATCTCTGGTGACTTCCTTGTGCTCCCTCCCCCCATCTAACATGGTAGCCTTGTTGATTTCTAATGGTCAAGCACACAGTATTCTTTTAACTAAGATTGTGTTGGTGCTTATCATTTATTGCATTACAATCCCCCACCCAGATACTCACCAGGTTTAGCTTTTTTGAGATCACCCACGATTGCCCCATGCTGTGTGAGAGCGCAAGAAATCCTTTGTGTTCCAGCAGTGCTGCTGTAGGCATTCTGCTGGGCATTGATGAGTTTGATAAAATCTGAGGAGGTTGGTTAGGCCTGATAAAAGCTACCCCTAGCGTGGTCTGTTTTGTCCAGTCCATTTATCCTTTGAGTCCATTCTGCCTTCTTGAAACCCATTTGTGTCTTTTATCATGGTTGATATTCCTTTCCTTTCTTGAATTCTAAAACCAGCAGTCCAAGCCTGTTCCATTAAGAGATTATCCATTCTTTAGCGTCACACTTTTGTCAAGAGCTACTTAAAGATGACTTGTTCCTTTCACCAGGCTGAAGTGCAGCTTCATTGTTAAACAGGTGTGCAGCTTTGACTTAAGGCTCCCTTTGGCATTACTCAGCTCTAAGGAGGCTTATCTCTTGATGCCTCTACTCTGTTTTCCTGTTTTCCACAGGGCTCCGGAGAGAGTTACTTGGAGAAAGCAGAGCGCTTATATTTGCAGATGTGCTCAACAAGAGAAAAGGTGAGGCACCGTGTCCCCAACAGAAGATTCGGTCATTCTCCCTCCTACCTGCAACACTGCAGAAGTGCTGGGACCCAGGATACTTAGCCAATGTGGTTTGCAATGCCTCTGTTATGAAAGAACATTCAAGTACATTGGGAGAAGTCTTAACAGATGCTTTGCCCTCATCAGATTGAGACCTGGGTGGGCGGGTGCAGAACTTGCTCACCTGCTTTGTTGCCCCTTACAGGTCCCAAAGCACTTTAATAAAACAAAATGTCAAATAATAAAACAATGTGATTAGAGGAAGATTCATCACTGAATTCATTAAGAGACTTCTCCTATCTCTCTCTCACCCCCTCCACCCCCCCCCCAAATTGGTTGCAATAAAGAAGAAGATACATCAGGTCCAAAACAGTATAAATAATTGCTTTCTCCTCCCTCGGCCACACAAGAGAAGGGTTTTTTTAATCTTAAAAGGATGGTAATTTTCCCAGCCTTAAAGTAGAAAGGTTGACTTAATGGGTGGACTTCAACCCCCATTAAGCACTGGCTGGGGAATTCTAGGAGTTGAAGTCCACCCATCTTAAATCTGCTGAGATGGAGAAGGACTGAGGTAGGTGGTAGGTAGGTCACCTGTGCCCCCTTTCCAGATTCCATTCTTATCATGGTTTGTCTTGTCTTCATAGAACTTGATGGGGGACCAGGAGCAACTGAAAATCCAGGTGACGGAACTGGAGGAGGAAGTCAGCACCCTGCGGAAGATCAACAAGAGCCTCTTTGACTTCTCCAGCTGTATCATCACCACAGCCAAATAGAACAGCTTCTGAAGCCTAGCTAGAAGTAGAGGGAGAGGCAAGCCAGCCAGGACTCATCTTGGATATGCACAGCCATTTCCTCCATGACAGTGTGCAGTGGCAACATATACAATTGCAGAGATACCCACTCATAAACATGTCTAATTGCAGGGCTGGACATGGAAGTCTCTAGCATGTACAGTTGTCCTGGGAGGAGCCCTGCAAAAAAACAGCTTTATGGGTAGCAGCGGACAGTATGGAAGGAGAATAATCCAGCAGGGAAAAGAGGTGGCCCTTTCTGCTTTTACAGTACAGCTTCCTTCCACCCTACAAAGTCCTTTTGTTCCTCAAACAGAGCAGCTGTAGATGCTCCTCAAGATGCCATCATCCCCTTTCCTCCAGTTGGAAATCCAGTTGCTGCTTCAGAACTCCTTTTGTGCTTGGGAACTTCTGGGGATTGAAGGCAACTATGGGCTTTAATGAAGCTGAATGCGTCCCATACAATAAGGGGGGCTGCCCTTGTTGTAATTGGCCAGGGAGAGGGACAATAAACTAGCATGAAACAACCCATGCAGCTGGGCTGGGCAAAGAGGCTCCCTATCCTCAAGATCCTGCTGAAGGAAAATGGAGAGATGGGGAAGATCATATTTCCTCATGTTTTCCTCATTGGAAAAGGGTGGAAAAACACTCCCTCCAATGGTAAGCTGGCGTGATAAGCAAAACCTTTTGTTGGGTCTTTTTTACTGACATGCTACTCTTCATGCAGAAGAGTTGTGGAGTTTTTATTTGTCTGAAGCGCTGGTCCATCATTCTACCAACCTATGCACAATATATCACAACAGGTCTTTAGCCAACAGGATGTCTAGTTAGGATCCTTTCCGGTCAGCTGCTTTGGTTCCTGTACAGTTGCAGATTCCAGCACCAGCCTCAGGACGCATTTGCCGTGTAGCAAATTTACTTTCACCATGTTATCTTCCTTCGTTTTACTTTCTTTAGAGAAAAACCTCTGGTTCTGTCTTCAGCCAGATTGTTCTTTCCTTTGTTGTATTACACATTTTTAAAAAACCAACAACAACAACAACTGTTAACACAATTAAATGTTTGATGTTGTTTTCCTTTTTCTTCTCTTTAATTATATTGTCAGTCTCCTAGCAAATGCTGCTACCGCTGAGCCCTGTTTAGAAGCTTTCTCGAGCATCTGCTGAACACCACTGGGAACAGGATGCTGGACTTAGGTGGAATGACAATTAAGTGAAATGTTCACCTTTAGGAACAGTCCATCTCGGAATACCAATTGCCAGGTCACAAATAAAAGGAGAGGTGTGTAGCTTTTCAGTCCTGTTTACAGACTTCTTAGAAGTACGGAGTGGGTAATTCCAGATGGTGATAATTTATCCGGTGAGCTGATTTTTGTGATCTTATTAATAGTGCTTAAAATGATAACAAACAATGTAGCCTACATGTTCTGGAGCAGTATTCCTACATAGAAAAATAGCAAATAACTTTTCTTTAACATATGGCCTGTTGCTGAATTTTCCCAGCAACATCTGGCTGGAAACAGGAAGGGTCCAGCCAAGCATGATCTGTATCCATAAATCATTGCCCAGGAACAATTTGGGGGGGGGGGGGCTGAAAAAAAGGCAGGGATTTCTCTTAACTGCATAGAAAGTGAATTCAGCTTCGATGCTTTGTGTGGGAGGAAGAAAGGAGACAGTTGTCCTTAGCAGGCCCTTTGGGGGAGGGGGAAAACCCCTGGTCCTCAGCTTGTTTTCCCATAGATGACTCTACCCTTTTCAGGGCTGAGTTGTCCCAAATTGGTAGGCTGCAGTATTTGCAAAGACATCTGGCACGGGCAGGGCAACATCATTCCATTTGCTTTGGAGTACAGCTATTCCTTCTGCTTAGCAAGGCCAGCTTTCTTGCCCCCCTTCATTTTTAACTCTGCATGAAAGAAGGGTTGAAGTTTAGCCCTCCGAAGCTGGACAACAGGCTCTCTGTTGGGCCTCCAGACAGAGCAGGGAATGGAACCCCACCAGCTCTTGATCAAAGCAGCAGGTTCCCTTTTTGGGTGGTAGCTGCCTGTTCCCCACCCTCCCAGCCCAGTGCCCATTTTTATTTTATTAAGGCATGGAACTCAGTATCAGATGGCTAAGAATTCAATCTCTTGCCTTCCACTGCAGTGGCAGAGTGGAACCAACGTTTTCACTTAGGGCAGTGTTGTCCAAACTTGACCACTTTAAGATGAGTGGACTTCAACTCCCAGAATTCCCCAGCCAGCTATGTGGCCAAGTTTGGACAACACTGACTTAGGGTGTCTGTGAGAATTCTGCAGCATAGCTTTGTCAGACCCAGTTATGTTGGAAGCTCCCATGTACCTGACTTGGCGATTTGTCCGTCTTGTCTTCCTGTGAAACTGACAGCGGCCCTGACTCAGAATTCCTGCTTCCTCCCTCTTCACGTGAAGGTTCCAGGAACTGAACTTAGGATATTCTACATGCAAAGCATATGCTCTTTGTAGAGCTGGGTCTTTGTGGGAACAGTAGATGCTGCCTTAGAGCTCTTCAAACTATTTATTCAGGTAGCTCAGTATTACTGACTTGACTTGCAGTAGCAGCTCTGAGATAGAGAGATACATTTCCCCTTGATTGTAACAACTCCTTTTTAAAGTGAAGGTGCTAAGAAATCCACAGATTGACTCTTGCCAATCATGGAACACGTTCTTCCTCCACCCACATATTTTGCTTTACTTTAAATGTGAAAATCAGTGCAAAGGTCTCTTCCCTTTTAATTTGGTTGTTTAATTTTTGGGATATTCCCGTTTTCAATCTTACAGTCCTCTTGCATCTCTACTTGAACAAAACTTTACGTTTTTTTAACAAGTTGATGGGGGGGGGAAGGCATTGGACACTGTTACCCATGATGGTTAATGTATGAAGACCCCATGTTTAGAGACAGTATACCTCTGAATATCAGTTGTTTGAATAGTTGGAGACAGCTAATTCATGTATTAATGGGCCTTCTAGAGGCACCTTAGTCCCTGTTGGAAACAAATTGAGGAGCTCAATGAAGGATAGTCACCCCTTAATTTGTGCACATTTGAGGGGAAAAATTGCAGGTGCTCTCACATAGGGGTTGCCATAGGTGGGTAAGGGGGACTTTCTAGTTTTATCATGACTGCTGGGGGTGATCTGGCCACTCCCAATACACAGTTAGTAGCAGGGAAGCCCATGAGATTGCTTCCCACCCATTCCAGGTTTCTTTTTGTGGGTGGGTGGGTAGATGGATGGATTTAGCCAGTGTGGTTTAGTGCTGAAGATGCTGGGCTGGAAGCAGGGAGACCCAAGTTGTTCTTTAGGTGCAAAAGCCAGCTGGGTGACCTTGGGCCGGTCACTCAGCCCAAATCAGTGTGGGACTCTACAACAAGCCAGCTTAAAAAAAAAACTTTTGTTGCATCGTGCATGGATGAGCTTGATGGTAAGAGCCAGGCAAGTGCAGCACAAGCAAGTGGATCACACAGCTAAGGAGGACAAACCCTAAGAAAAACCGCCCCTCCCATCTCCTGGTTAAATGAAACCTTGGGCTGCAGCTAACCCATTTTTTAATTTTCTAAGATGCTGCTGGACTCAGAGAAGTCCTTGTGAGTAAAGAGGATGATGCCTGAAGCGTTCACTTTGCTTTGCACTTTTTAAAGTAAAATCTTAACAAGGTAATTGAGGCAGGATAACCATGACACCTCGTCCTAGTTGAGAGAGTCTACTGAGTAGGCTCCCCCAATGCAGGAATATAGGAGGAGGGAGTGAGGGTGACTTACATGCTGCGACTAAGAACCAGACTCATCTCAAAATCCTCTCCTTTCTTCTGCAAGCAGAAAATGGGGGGACAGTTGGAAGCCCTTGACCTAGTTTCCTGCACATGATGTGTGTCCCCATGGAAAAGGAGGAAGATGGGGAGGAAAAAATGGGTGGGATGGACTGGGGGAGGGAAGTCCACCTCAAGGAAGCACAAAATTTAGACCTAATAAAGAGAGGAAAGGGGTGCAGAGATCGCCACTGCAGTCCAGCCTTGCATTTAACAAGGAGCAAGAGTTAAAAACAGGGTGGGCTCTCCCATCGGGCAGAGGGCAGCAGCTGGATCAGACAGGAGATCTGATGCAGCTTAGATGATTGTTGTGAAGGAAGGTAGAGCTAACCTTGCAAACAGGGAGGGAACGAGCAAGAGCTGTTAAGGGGCATTTGCAGAAAAGGAGAAAAAAGACTCAAACCCATCTTGATTTGTTTAGGATAAGGTGGGAGGGAGGGAAACTTGGATAGGCAGCCCCTGAGCAATTCCACCCCCTGCAAGAAATTGCGTTCCCCAACACACACGCACACTTCCTCAGCCACATCTTAAAGCAAAATAGCAAAGCTGTCCGGATTACAGCCCCAAAGGAAAACCTATTTGATTTAAAGGGTAGTTTAATAACCCAGAATGTCTGGGCTGCGCATCCTGCCTGAAAGCCAAGATCCTTAGATAATGCTTTTAGTTTAATAACTGTCGCTTCTCTTTTGTTGTGTGTTCCGTCTAGGTCAGAGCTGGTGCGGGAGAATCTGTACATCTATATAGTATATGCACACAGATATACATACCTTGGATTCAAAATTACAAAGGAGGAAGCTTTAGAAAGTGCTGGTGGGGAGGCACAGCAGCGTTTCACCTTGTTTTAGAGCTGATGGTCTAGCACATTGGTTCTCAACAGGAGCGGTACCGCCCCCCGGAGGGCGGTGGGAGGATGCTGAGGGGCGGTGAACTTGTTTT